AATGCAGTTCTATCTGAATCACGTCTCTCCTTGGCAGGTTACAACCACCTTCACAGTATATCTCAGGGTGAGTTCTTTGGAACACCAGTCTTATGAGAACCCCATGAGGAAACCATGGTCAAATAGTTTTGGGAAACACTACCAATGTCATCCTCTCTTTCATTGAGTCTGACCACATGTTAGCATGATGGAACCCTTGTGAGGGTACCTAATTTAACTTTGATAGGTGCAATCTATGACTTATGTAACCACCGTTTGCCCCTGAAAATAATATTTTGTGGAAAACATTTAAGAGACATCCACTAGCAGGGTGTGCTTGGCATGCACCTGTGGTCCCAGCTACTCGGGAGGCTGAGGCAGGAGGATGGCCTGGGCCCAGGAGGTTGAGGTTGCAGTGTGTGGTGTTTGTGCCATTGCCCTCCAGTCTGGGCAACAGAGTGAGACCCAGTCTCTAAAGAAAGAAAGAAAAAGAAACATCAGCCCAGACATTTTTTCTTCAAATTTTATGTAGAAAGCCAAACTTCTGGAAAATACAGATTATGGCATGATAAAATTAACTAATTATCAGGCATGTACTTTTCTTGACACATGGTTCTGTTTTTCTGCCTTACATATTGTACTTTATCATCATAGTGTGTCTGTGTGGTAAATAATATTGTTATTCCCATTTGACAGAGGAGGAAACTGAGGCTCAGAGAGGACCCTGTAAATATTGGCATGGCAATAGGCTGTCCTCAGCCCCACCCATCTGCCCACCTGTATATACTTGTCCTTGGTAAATGCAGTGTTTCACGGCTTTAAGTACCATCTTTAAGCTGATGATCCAAATTGCCATCTCTAGCCATAACCAATTGATCTTCTGACTCTCATTGAACCTACGGCCCTTTCCATCACTTTATTATTTCTCAGTTGTTTTTTCCCTTATTCAAAATGTAAAATGTTGGAATGCCCAAGCCACTGAGGAAAAGGCTCATTGCTCTTTTATACTAACCTAGCCATGGCCCTCATGAGCCACAACACTGTGCCTAACTATACTGCTGCTAAACTCAGAAAATTGAGACGGTCCAAATTTTCTGCCTAAAAGTTTCCTTTGTCACCCACCCCATGACCCTCATATTTTAAAAATACTTTTTTCAGGCTAGCAGATGGCTTGCTGTCTTAGTCTGCTCAGGCTACTATAACAAAATGCCATGAACTGGGTGGCTTATAAAAAACAGAAATTTATTTGTCACATGTCTGGAGGCTGGGAAGTCTAAGATCAAGACTTGAGCAGATTTGATGTCTGGTGAGGACCTGCATGGTGTTTTATAGATGATGGCACCTTCCCACTGTGTCCTCACAGGAGACAAGGGGGCGCTCTCTGGATCCTTTGTTGTTGTTGTTTTTTAATAAGGGCACTCATCCTATTCTTAAGGGTAGAGCCTAAGCACCTCCCAAAGGACCTACCTCCTAATTCCACCACATCTGTGATTAGCTTTCAACTTACGAATTCTTGGAGGACGCAGGTATTCAGACTATAGCACATGTATTAAACATCAAATTGTTAATTTTTACTTTGTAAGTCATCTAAGTTATATGATAGATATATGTTGTTTAAGGTATATTCTCCGTATGAGACTAATACAAAGGTTTTTTGTTTTTTTTTTTTTTATCATTTCTAAGCAAAAACAACTGCAAAGTACTCCTTTGTAAACCTTAGGAGTACTTTGTTCTCATTAGGTTTTGCAAAATTCTGAAAAATAGCTCTTGATCCCTAGGCTGGGAACTTCTGTAACCAGGGGTCCTCCTTCCCAGAGCTCCCAAGATGGCGGCAAGCCTCTTGTTCACTGACCTGGGGTCTTGGCCTCACAGATTCCAAGGAATGGAATCTTGGGCCATGTGGTGAGTGTGACAGCTCTATTAGAAGCCGTGGATCACAGAAGAGAACGGTGGAACCCAGCTACTAGTGTTTAGCACAGTTAGGATGAACCCGGGCACTTTGCCGTGCAGGAACAATGGCAAGCCTTTAGCAGGTCGGGAACAGCAATGGGCACCTCACTGGATCAGGAGCACAGCGGACACACTGCAGGATCCCGACGGATGGAAGTCAGCGGCGGATCTGCAATGGCGGCAAACAGCAGTGGTGGATGGTGAGCGGAAGCTCAGCTGGAGCCGTAACAAACACGTACCAGAGGAGTGTGCAGTTGCAAGATTTAATAGAGTGAAAACAGAGCTGCTATACAACGGGAGGGGACCCAAAGAGGGTAGCCTGTTGCCAGCTGGAATGCCTGAATTTATATTCAGGTGATAGATGATTGGCTATTTCTTTACCTCCAATTCTATTTCTTTACCTCCTGTTTTTGCCTAATTAGCATTTTAAGCTCTCTTCACTACCTGATTGGTTGGGTGTGAGCTAAGTTGCAAGCCCAGTGTTTAAAGGTGGATGCAGTCACCTTCCCAGCTCTGCTTAGGGATTCTTAGTCGGCAGAGGAAATCCAGCCAGTCCTGCCTCTCACTTCCACACTAAAGGGTTTCTTTTATGGCACTTCTGTTTTTCTAAGGGTATGATAGGATCTCTGTTTAGGGACTTCCAAGATGTGAGGTTGTTGGGACAGACTGTCATGTAGGTCTCCACCTGATTATGTGGCCAGGTGTTGTTTCCAAAGTAATTACAAGTCAGTGTTTTCCACAGTTTTGGTCACAGACCCCGTGATTTCTGCATGGAAGCTATCTTCAACATCCAAACCTGACCTAAATAACAGAAACTACTAGGCTATATTAACTAACCTATGTTCTGTAATAACACCCTCCAAAAAAAAAAAAAAAAAAGTCGAGCAAACGTGAAGTTTTTCCATTATGATGAAATATCTCCCTAGAACACTAATATTCTTTCAGGGCATTCGTGTTTCTTTGATTTAACTTAACCCAGTGAGCCAGATTTTTCCCAAAGGGTGAATTAAAAAGGTCCGTTAACTCTTTCAGTACCTGGCTTCTCAGCCAGGCCATTAGTATTGTTTCGCCTTAGGCTTTACATTTTTTAAAAGTCAGCTGTCACTTCCAAAGCAATCCAGAATAGCACACTCAACAGATCCCTGGAGCTTTGCAAATGTTAATGCCCTCCATCAGCAGCGACCTTGCCAGGGGGAAGTGATTTAGGCACTAGGGAGAAAAGGGCCCACTATCTTTATCACACCGGTTTACACCATCAGCTTCAGAAATTGTGTGAGAGAAGAAGAATCAATAGTGTGTTAAGACCAATCTCGAGGAATGCCAAGAGAAAGTACCGGCGCTCTGCAAAATGCTGAGTTGAAGGAGAACTTTTGAATACAACAAAAGAAAAATTAGCTGTAGTGGTAAAACAAAATGAATTGTGTCTCAAGACAGAATTTGTCATTGTGAATGGCACTCAAGAGCTCTCTGCGTACTTCAGTGGAATCACATAATATGCATGATGAAAAATGCTTATTTTAGAGTTAACGCAGAATGAAATAACAAAACTGGAACGAATGCATTGCAAATATACTACATGCAAGTTAAGATCAGCTCATGTAAATAACCCCAAAAAGTTTACTGAAGGAAAAGTATCTAGAAGAATCGTCTGCTATGGAGAAATGGAAGAAATAGAATAAAGTTAAACTTCATCAAAGTTTCCTGAAAATGTTACTGCATTTCCTGTAATTCTAGTAAAGGTATTATCTCTTGATAACCAGCACAGAATGTAAAGCTTCTAAAAACAGCAAAGGAAGATGAATTCCACACCACCCTGAGTAAAATCACTGTGGAAAAGAACTGGCAGCTCAGTCCCTAAGATCATTACAATAAAATGTTTGATTTCCCATAGCAATCTTAATTGTGACATGAACAGCTGTCAACAACAAAATTAGAGGAAGCTGTCATTACATGGATTTCATCCACATTTGCTTGTCCTATTTCTATACCACTGCTATAGAGAGTGTTTTTAAAGAATTCTTCCAGTGGAGATTTTCATAACTCAAAGGGGAGTCACTGAAATTATTTGGCTTTATATTCTATACAATGAAATATATTTGTCATGATAACAGGAATCCCAAACGGATGTTTATAGAATGCCAAATTCAAGTATGTAAAAGTGAGACACAATTCACTTAATCCTGAAGTCATTCTGTGGAGTAACTATTGCAATCCTTTTTTTTAGTACAGTTGATTCTCTTTATTTATTGTAGTTATGTTCTATAAAGTCACTGCAAACATTGACTTAGCAAATACTGAACCGTTGCGGCAATGAGAAATACAGAGTTAGGCTCCTGCAAGCCACTGGCCACAACAGTTTCATCAATCAATCAATACGTAAACTTGTGTTATGTGTGTTTCTGTGAAAAGACACCTTATTTAATGTATAGATGATTCATTAACATTGAACTCATTGCACTATAACTCAGGCTTGAAGGAAGTTTATCTAACATACATATTTTTGCCCTGAGACACATTACACATCTTGTGGTTAGGAATGCTTGACAGTACTTCATCCCGATGCTTCGGGACCATTTTAAACGTTGAAATCGACAAGAAAAAGCACAGAAATGCGAAAAACATTGTACTAAGTAGACCACAAAGAGAACACTTGTTTCCAATCTGAGAGCTGAAATAAGGAGAGTGTCTTCTCCAACCTCAGCTAGGAACATGACTCAAATTTTTTGGCACTGTGTCTCTATGTCCGTGAGAGTACTGTGAGTATTAACTTTGGGGTGACAAATAAATTTTAGTGTGTAAGCAAATTTGCAAATATGGATCTACCAATAATAAGGATTGACTGTGTATGCTGAAACTATGAATCAGGGAATACAGTTGGTCACTCTCTAACTGTCTGGGTAATTCTTTCTGTCGTATTAGTGGTTATACTTGTTTACATTTCAAAATTAGAGTGTATTGGAGGTAAAAGTTTCATGAGAAATGTGTACACCATTGCATTGCACATTTCTGCCTCATGAATTTAGGAGAAAACTCACTGTATAACTTTCTTTACTTTTCAATGGTTCTTCCAGGTCTTTCAGGGATGTGGTCAGCCCAAACCCGCTCCAGCTCTCAGATCTGCCCGCTCAGCTCCTGAAAATTTTAATACACGTTTCAGGCCCTACAATCCTGAGGAAAGACCGACAACCGCTGCAGGCACAAGCTTGGACCGGCTGGTGAGTATTCTCAAACTGATAACCATGGCGGATGCTTTGTTTTACCAAGGTCATTCTTTGAAACTCCTAGGAGATTCTGAAAATGTTTGTTATAAGAGTCATCTCATTCTTATATCTGCTTCTGTTCTTAATTCAAATATTGAAAAGTAATGGGATCTTTCTTTTGTTTCATGTATTGGATTATTTAAGAAATCTATTAATCCATTAAGAAACTATTAACGCATGTGTGCAGTGACCAAATTTTCAACTTCTTATTTCTCATGAAATATTAATTTGAAAACTAAGTTGCCAGTTCTTCCAGAGATATAATTGCAATAGCAGATTTCTTACTCATCTGCTTCAGTTCTTTTCTGAAAATGGTTATTTATTCAATTATGATATAATGCAATTTTATTATGACTTCTTATTTGCAAAGTTTTCTGTTTGAAAGACCTTGCCCGGAAACCCCAAATCAATGTTACTATCATTTTTTTTTTCTTTTTTATGTGTCTTTAAAAAGTTGAAATCCTTAGAATTAGTCACTCTTTGAGCTGTTTTTTTTAGATGTGTGTCAGGGGACTCAGTGATATCCATCATCAAAGCAGTTTATAATACTCGGAAAATGCAACCATAAACATAGTAAATACAATTTTTAAATGTGTTTTAAAGGCCACATTTTGCTATAAAAAGTAAAAGTTCATAATTTTAAAGAAATACTGCCTGATTATTTTTAATTCAATTTCTTCCATTTATAGTACTATAAACACTTTATATACCTGCAATTGTTAGTGCTGTTAATGTTGCTTTGCCAATTATCTTGATGTAAAATTAACAGATAAAATCCTTAATGTCATAAAGCACTTGAACCACATCTGACTGTGTCATATAAACTCAGATCTCAAAGACTGCCAGTTATGAAAATACTTTTATTAGTCACTGTTATAAATTATTTTATGATTTTAGTTAACATCCTTCTATAGTATAGAACTCATAAGATTAAATTTGTTGAATTTGGCCTCAAAGTAAGTACTTCTCAGCATTTCTTTCTATAAAAATCAAATGTGCTTACAACCTAAAGGCCTATCCATGAAGTATCAAAATAAATTTTGTTATAAATTTATTGCCATTTGTTAGCAAATAAAGCCTTCTCTCTAGTGTAGATATTTGTAGTTGCTGCAACCTTCTACTTTACCTTGCTTATATCTATTCTTTTTTTTTCCCTTGAGACAGGGCCTCACTCTGTTGCCCAGGCTGGAGTGCAGTGGCATGATCATGGCTCACTGCAAACTTGACCTGCTGGGCTCAAGTGGTCCTCCAACCTTAGCCTCCTGAGTAGCTGAGATGACAGGCATACGCCACCATGCCCAGCTTTTTATTTTTTGTAGAGGCATAGTTTTGCCATGTTGTCCAGGCTGGTCTCGAACTCTTGATCTCAAGCAATCCACCTGCCTCTGCCTCCCAAAGTGCTGGGATTACAGGCGTGAGCCAACACGCCTAGCGGCTTACATCTATTCTCTGTTGCAGTTTCAGGAAAAGTTTAAAAATAGTCACCATTTTTCTTTTAAACAACCAATTAAATTCCACCAAATAACTAGTCAAAGTGCTTTAAAAAAAAGGGATGGTTTTCATTAGCTTATGTTGTTTAAATTTTACTTTACAAATTGCATTGTATATCAAGATCTTTCTAACCAGAGGACAAATGGTGAGTATGGGTTTGCTCCCTTTTTTCCCATTTTCTTTGGCTCTAATTTAGTTATTGGGACAATTCAGTCTTTTCTGAATTTTTGTAAAATCTAATTTAAGAACAGGAGTACAATGTGAGATGAATAAGTTCTAAAGATCCGAGGTACAACATTGTGGCTGCAGCTAACAATAGTGTATTGTTCACTTAAAAAAAACTCTGTTAAGAGGGTAGATGTCATGTTGAGTGTCCTTACCACAATAAAATAAAATAAGAAGTTTTAAAAGAACTGGGGTACATTACACATTTAGTTAGAATTGCACTGAATTTGAACAATGTAATGATATGTATGGCAACTAATTAATTTTTTCCCTTTGAAACAGAGAAGCAGTTTTCTCTCATCCCCAGGAGAAATAAACACACACCCTTAAACAGGGGAAGTAGAGCAAGAAAAATATGTTTCTAAAGACAATATTTTTGCAGCATAGCATAAACTAAATAAAGCTTCAACACTTGGAGAATTTTCTCTGGTGTTTAAAATCTGATGGACATGAAAATTGAGATTTGAACCTTTTATAAAGGAACTTTGTTGGTAATGTTAAAAATGCTCTAGATATAAGGGTCTTGAGAGTATAGACAAGTAGCAAACAGAATGAAAATGTTCTACCTTTTGCACCCCTTAAAAATATATTTTATCAACCTTTTTCTGAAAATGATTGGTAATGGTTAAACGTACGATCACAAGTAAAAGCCAAGGACCAGACTCCGTGCCTAAGTATTTAAATCAGTAAGCCAATTTTATTCTACAACATTCTCAGACAGCATGTAGCATTTACTTCCTCAAAGGTGTGGCTTCAGGCTCTGTAAGTAAAAATTGCAGGGGTTTTTTTTTTATTAAATTAAATTCTGATCCCTTCCCAAATGGTAAGAATCAGTGACGTGTAATGCACAGTCAGCCATAAGCCCACTTTACTCAGCTCCTGAGAACAAGGCGCTGTTTCCACATCAAACGGAGCTATACCAGGGTTATTCTTGAGAGACACGAGTTAGGTCCAAAGCTAATAACAGAGTCTCGCGCCATTGGCTCCCCTGAGGCCTTCTTCCTTTGGGGGTTCCAATATAGCTCTGAACAGTGCTATAAGTCGGGGCAGTTATCCTTGGCAGACCGCAGTACAACAGTCAAACATGCTCATCTTCAAGAAGGATGCACTGCGAAACTATCCAGATGGGTCTGTCATCCATTACAGCCTATTTAGGCTGTTTATAAACAAGGCTCATATTACCTACTCCTGTTTCAATTCTTCCCAGAAAAGATGTTTCCTGAATATTTATAAGAAGCATGTGTCTGAGAAAAGAAGGATAATTGGAAAAGATTTCCCTTCATTTCTTGAAGTGTTTCAGCAGAAAAATGCTTCAAAGGACAATATCAAAACACTACTCCAGTCACCCCACCCGTTTTGCCAAAATGAAAATAACTATAAAGCACTTGGAGAGTTACTTCTTAGTGCCATTTAAATTAGTACCTGTGGTAATAACTTTGGGATCTGTTGGTAAATGTTCTTATGTCAGTTATTCTAAAGCTATTTTTTAATGTGAACTGGTAATTATGGGGTTTGTTTTAAAAATAAAACTAACAACCCCAAACTGAGTAAACTGCTGCTAAACCTTATATAAAATAATTGAAAACAAAACTCTCTCTTAAAAAATGCACCAGTTCCATCATTTAACATCTTATTATATTTATAAGGAACTTATAAATTCTTTTGTATCACTAGGGAACATTTCCATTTGCTCCTCTGAAGTTAGATAGGCATAAGAAGCAGTTGAGGTAGTCAGAAGCTTTCAGACATGCTACCCTAAAGTGGTTTTTGTTATCCAAGAATGAGTGAATGTATTTTTATAAATTCAGCTACTGACAGAAAGCCAACTCATCTGAGACTATCGCAGTCCCTACCGCCAACAGCCATGATTTGTTGAGGATACTAATGTTATCAGCTCTGGTAATTCAGTTAACAGAGTCATCCTACCATCATGTTGCTTTCTTGCCACCAACAAACTCCCCTTAGAAGCCCCTCTGTCCCAGCTGACTATTAATGACTTTCAATCAAACAGACCAGAGATTATTGTTTGCACTCAGGAAGAGACTGGTCATGTTCCTTTATTCTTAAATGTATACTCTGCAAATTCTCTTACATAATTTGATGTGAAACTATAATTTTTTAAAAGGTGGTTCCAATTCACTGGAAATGTCAAGTATAAAAATAAATCAGCACAAAACAGCTCAATTTTTAAGATCTGAGCATCAAAAGGTATTTCAAATTAGCCTCTGTAAAAGGCAATTAGTTGTACAGCTCAGAAAATTAGAGCACAACATGTTCTACAGCTCACAGACGCACTTGGACAGGGAGTGTCAGTTACTTTATTCCAGCTGATTCATTAGAGTAAAAATGGACTGTGCATGGTGTATCTTAGACGAATATGTTTTATAAAAGTAAGTTAAAAAAAATTTAAAAAGCCAGGTTTGGAAGTTAACAAGTTGGTGATGATTTAGACCTGTAAATCTCCAGTAAGTATTCAACACTGTACTGTGGATATGGATTTCTCAAATATCCTACTGGTCATTCTGAGGGAATTTGGGACGGGGGTGGGTGGAATGCCAACCTACAAAGCTAAACTTTGTGCCTGTGCTGTGCTGTTATGTATAGAATAATCTCTTTTTCTTTTTCCTTTAAATTTGTTTTCCTCTTGCTTCCCAGAGGACTGTGTGGCGGACTATGCAGCATAGTGTAAGCATTGGTCTTCTTCTTCCTCTCATCCCCGTTTGTCTTTGTACAGTCATTCCGGAGGGTCCCTGAGAAATTCCCCCACCACTGTCCCTTTCCAAATTATCTGGAGTGGATTGAATACTGCACTTGGCCAACTTGTTTAGTCGTTTCCTCTCTGCTTGCAATTTATGGTTAACAACCATTTTCATATTCTTCTCCAATGGCCAAGTTTTCAATCTAATCTTGGTGGAAGATGAGCTCATCGAATGGCTGATTTAAATTCTGTCCCAATGTTCAGACAATGTGTAGTCTGCCTGGAAAACTAGCTCTTCCCTGTTAGAATATATTGGCCTTTTTCTTGTGCTAATAAGAACATACCAACATCAGCCCTCCTGCATAAGGTGCTAAGGTTTCCATTAGCTGAGACATAGAAAATTTAAGGGATTAAAAAATAGGTTGTTTGCTTTTCATTTTCTATTTGAATTTCCTGATATCTTTCAGAGTATTCAGAGCATTTGGAGAGGGAGCATTGGCTATTTTTTACTTGAAAGCTTACCCCCACTATGGGACTGAGG